CGCTCGGTGGTCCCGCCACGCGTGGCCGACGGGGGCCCTTCGTCCGGCGCTGGGCACGGGGGCGGCCGCTGCCCGGCGGGGTGCGAGCGGCGGCCCCCGGCTCCTGAGGGTCTCCAGTGCCACGGCGGGGGGACGTGAGATGGGCGGCGGCAGGGGGAGAACACGCTTTTGTATCCAAAACAACTGAAAGACAAAAAAAAAAAAAAAAGGGGGATTTTGGGATTTCAATGATTACTCGGCTACGGGAGCAGCGGCGGCTCCGGATGGGGGGATTTGGTGACGGGAGCGAGGTCCCCGGTGCGCACAGCCATACGGGTGGTCGCGGTGACCCCCCTGCCCGCGGCGTCGCCTCCTTGCTGGACTGTCCCCTGTTTGGGAATACAAGGAAAAGGCCTTTGGGAACACAGGGAAAAGGCCCTTTGGAACACGCCGTGGGTGGCGGTTTTGTTTTCCATTTTTCAGCATTCCCGAGCGGCTCCCGTTCTCCATCCTGCTGCTCCATCACCCGGGATGGGCTGGAAGGAAGGAGGTGACGCGGGAAAAGAAATAAAAGCGATGCTGGTGACACCCCGATGTACCCGGTCTGGGCGGTTTCCAGGTGTTTTTGCAAAGTTTGGGAGAAAACACGGGAAAAAAAAAATAAAAAAGGGACTTTTCCCAAAGCATCCGTCGGGATTTGCACCATCATGAGCTGATGGGGCCTGTGGGAAAAGCTGGTGGCTTCCCATGTGAATAGCACCCGGCTTTGATCCTCCCCCGGCCTCCCTAAATCTCAAGCGGTGTCTTGTAAATCTTTAATTACAAGAGGGAAAAAAAAAAAAAGCGACCTTAACGGTGAACACACAAACTGCGTTGATAAATATTTAAAATTGCCACAGCGACGGATCTGGGGGGATTAAGAAAAGATATATTGGAGTGACAGTTATTAAACACTAAATCCCAGTAAATGTTACAGAGCGGATAAATAATGCAGGTCCCCGCCAGCCGTTCGGCTGCTGACAGGCGGGAGAAGCGCCCGCCTTGGCGGGGCGGAAAATGGGGAAAACAAGAGGAAAATAGGAGGAAAACGGGAGCTGGAGCCTTTTGTGGCAGCACCAGCTCCATACGGCCCATTATTCCTGCACTTATTTGGATATCTGCATTTATCCTGTATCCATGTCCTTCCAAAGCTGCTTCCTTGGATCCTCCCAAGGATCCGGCCTCCTTGTCTCGTTCCGCATCTCCTGCTCGTCCCCCTCTGCCTCCTGCCACCAACCTTTAAGTTTTGAGGTCACTGGCTGCGTTTCCCTTATTAAATTCCCAGCTAGCGTTAAAGATTTATTGGCTCGCTAAAGGTAACGGGCAGAAAGTTAATTAGTGCTAATGGGCCGGGCTTGGCTCGCGGGGAGGGAAGATGCTCCGGGTGCGGACGACGCCAGCGGCCTTCCCGAGGAGCACAAAAATGGGCTATAGAAGGTGGAAATGTTCCAGGAGGGTGACGGGGCGCCCGGTTCCACGCATTTTGCAGCGCTCCGAGCCCCTGCGGCTGCTCCGGTGACGTTTTCCCTGGTTTTGGAGGCCTCCCGGGTGATTTTGCTTGGGTTTGCATGGAGGTTTCGGGCGCTCTCCCTGCATCCTGCGGGTCGGAATTTCTCCAGCACCCGCATCCCTGGCACCTCGCCTGGATCCCACCTTTGTTGGGGCTCAAAGTCTCCCTTTGCACGGACAAACTGAGGCTCTGCGGGCACCTGGGCTGCCCTGAGCGTCTTCCAGACCTCACTTATGGCACATTCCAGCTACAGTAACGAAGCACGTGGAGCAGGGGGCCACTGCAAGCACCGGTGCCGGCCTCGTCAGCCTTTGATTGCAAGTGGCAGAGAACCGGGGGCTCCCCAGGACAGCGAAGACGGTAAATGTTTAATATGGACGCGGTGATTACGCTAACGAGGTGGAGGGGAAGCCAGATGAAAGCGGCACCTATAGGAACATTAAATCCAACTGAAGTCGCCGAGGAGCTGAACAAAACATTCCGGGGAGCAGAGGCGGCAACGAGCTGTCCCCACCGGCCGGGAGGGCAGCTGGGGGCGCATTGGGGACACGGGTGCCCACGTGTGGGCAGGGGGCACGTCCGAAATGTGGAAAAGGCCGAGCCTGTGGGAAGGCCGAGCTCGCGGGGAAGGCGAGCGCGTGGCTAAGGCTGGGCTCGCGGGGAGGCAGAGCGCGTGGGTAAGGCCGAGCTCACGGGTAAGGCTGAGCTCACGGGTAAGGCTGAGCTCACGGGTAAGGCCGAGCTCACGGGTAAGGCTGAGCTCGCGGCTCAGCGCGGCAGCGGCCACCGGGTGCCCTCTAGCGAGCAGCCCGGCCGGGGACACCCCGAGTCTCCCCTACGGCTGTTCCAGCACCGCTTTCCAAGCCAAAAACCTGGAAAAGCCCCCAAATCTCGGGAGGGATCATCAGCATCGGGCAGCAGCACAAGCAGCTCATGCCGTGGAGGCCATCCCGATCCTCCAGGAAGCTTTGGAGGCTACAAATTCCCGAGCTTGGGAATGGGGTTGTGGAGCCGCTCCTGCTTCCAAGCAGCCCAACGAGGGCTTCTCCCTTCAGGCTGCCGCCGTGTCCCGCCGGCCTCCCTGAAATAGGAAATACAGCAAGACCACGGGCTAATTAACTGGTAACAGGTCTTTACTTAAAGTTTTCCCCGAAACGCAGTACAAATGAAAAAATAAACCTACATTATCATAGGCGACTCTTAATTCAGCTCGTTAGCTCAGGAAAACAAAACAAAACAAAACGGGTTCTCCATTCTGTGGCCCAAACCTTTTCAAAATAGTGCAAAACACCCAGACGGTGCTCAAGGCGCTCGTGGTTCCTGCAGCGACTGCGTGGGCGCCGAGTCGGTCGCGGAATTTTCTCCGAATAATTAAAATATCACCAGGAATAAGTGGCAGCAGGAGGCGGGTGCTGGGGAGGCCCAGCAGGAAGCCGCTCTTGGCAGGACAGTGTTTTATTTTCCTGGCTGGAGGTCCCACGTGTTCCTACCTTCTTCGTGCATCTCCTTGGGTCCTCAAAGGCAGTTACATCTTCCAGGAGTTGGAGACTCTGAAGTTGATGGAGCTTCTGTGTAGAAGGCCCTGAAGGCCTATTCAAATATATATTTATATATATATTTATAGGGCAATAGCACCTATGCAGTGGCAGGAAAATGGGACTGTAACCCTCCGAGCTGCCTGTACTTACCCACATGAGCTGCAGGCAACAAGCGGAGGGGAAGTCACAGGCATCTTTTCCCTTGCTCCTTAAGGATGGAGGTGAATTCCAATCCCCGTGGCCAAAGGAGGACTTCTGGAGCAGGGAAGCAGCTCTCTGACCGTCACCTGGGCTCGGGGAGATGTTTCTGGTCACCCTCGCGTCACTCATGGTCATTCTCAGCCTCTTCTGAAAGGGGCGGTCTCCACTGAAGGCTTTGCTGGGCATTTGTCCTCCATGGAAGGAGAGCTGCTCCCAACGGGCACAAGGAGCCACCACAGAGGGTTTGGGAAGACTCCCATTCCCAGGAACGGGGAATCCAGCGGCATCTCCGCCTCCTTGGAGAGCCTCGGTCTGTCCAACGTGTGCATGTGGAGGGTCCGGGTCTTCCATCCACTCGAGCAGCATCATAAACAGGTGACAGGGCTGAGCGTTCCCAAGGGTCTCCTCGGGAATACCCACCAGCCCAAAAAATGAGGATCTGTGCTGGATCTGCTCCTTTTAATTTATAAGGTGTCTCTGGCCAAGCCAAACGGAGCCGGATAACACGTCGCAGCTGAGGAGGCCGCTGAGGCTTCCAGCAGAGCCTGAGGACGGGCTGATGTCCCCGGATAGCTGGCAGGTCACTGAGAGCAACAGAGAAGAGGCCCTTAAGGCTGGCAGGGCTCCCAGGAGCGACGCAGCTCGTGCGTTACCGGCGCGGAGAGGGCAGGGATATCGCTGTAACGGACTGAGCGCCGCTGCTCAGGTGGGAGACACACGGTTCTCACGCTGCATTTCAAGACCCAAGCCCCAAACTTGCTGCTTCTGGACCTGAGCGGTACCATGGCCTCAAGCTGAAGGGCCGAGGAACTCTGTGTACGAAGCACCCGGCAGGTACAGCCGAGACGTCCCTACATTCCCAAGGGACAGCGACCAATGTCACTGAAGGAAGACGCAGGGAAAGGGATGAAATTATCCAGTCAAGAGCATCGAAAGGCTCCATACGGCGCCTAGCAGACACGGGCCGACTGCTAAGGTGTCCCTGCATCTCCTTATATTGCACTTAATACCGCGGCGGGGTCGCTGCCTAGGACACCCAGGGGGGATATCCAGGGGTCTTGAGCGCCTGTGATTCACACCTAGCCCGGCTCAACACCCGGCCCCGAACACCCTGCGGCGCCTGTGTCTGCCCTACAAGGTCCCCTTGCAGGAACGGGAGGCAGGAACAGGGAAAGAGGCTGGGAAACCTCCCTGCGGCGACACTGCTCTATGGCCACTACAACAGAACGCTTGGAGCTATTTCTTCCACTCCTATCTCACCTCTGCACTTCCTAAAAAGTGTCAGGAATAAAAATAAAAATAAAAATAAAAATAAAAATAAAAATAAAAATAAAAATAAAAATAAAAATAAAAATAAAAATAAAAATAAAAATAAAAATAAAAATAAAAATAAAAATAAAAATAAAAATAAAAATAAGAAAGTTCTCCGTGAACTACAATTTATTCATGTTTAGACTTAAGTTAAAATAATAAAACGTCCTGGCTCTCTCCCCTAACCCAACCCCAGCCACAAGCTGGGCAATTACCCCTACATTCACTGTCCTTCCCCGGCAATAGCTTATTCCTGTTCAGAAAGGAAAAGGGGCCTCTAATTAGTACAGGTAAAAAGAAATACCAGGTTAGAAATCGCTCGGCCTAGGCTGTATTTGCTCGGTTTATATCAGCATTGCTTGGCTGTATGTGGCCAAACTAAAGCCTTGTCTTTAGCTTGGCCAAATATAAGCACCGAGGTGGTTATATCGAATAAGGAATCAGGGCTGAAGGGTGTTATCCTGAGGGCTATCCCGTAGAATCACTTTGTTATCACAAACTGTATCAAGGGGATCAGTTTTCACTTATCCATGACAGCTGCACCTCAGGACACTAAGTGTTTCCAGGAATCTCTGCTGATTTCCTGTCTGTGGATCTTGGTAGGATTTTGGTGCAGGTATTTAACCCCTAACTTAAACCTAAAGCCCCCCGATTTTCTTCCATTTTAGTCAACACAAAGAGTGTATTTTTCAGTGTACCCAGACCTGCCCAGTTCAGTGAAGCTGCTTTCAGCAAAACGTTCAATTTAACAACTGGGGAGGAAGGGGAGGAAAAAATCACAGTATTCGGAAGTGCATTAAGGGCTTGTTCCCAAGTACCCTGCTGAGCCCAAACCACTTATAAAGGGAGAGACAACACAGCAAAATTCCTTCCATCTGCTCCAAGAGGGAAGACTGCTGAGCTTCCCAGGATTAAAGTGCACTGCCTGCAACTGAGCAGCCCCTTGACCAAGGGAGCAAGAAGGAGATTTTGAGGTGGACTTCTCTGGATAGTGCAGCAAATGCCCAGGGAACCTGTGCCTTTTAAAACACAACTGGAAATAAGCTAGAAGAGGCAAAGTTAACACAGAAATAATCACGATATTGTGGGAAATATGAAGGGGACTCGTCTTTTGGCAGCGGGAGGCAGGGACTATGGCATCCAGTCCAGTATCGCTGCAAAGAAGTGACTCTGTCAGAGCCAAGACTGGGGCCTCTTGGTGCAGAGCTGGCCTGGGTTGGATCAGCAGAAGGTGCGTGGAAAGCAGGGGAAAACTGTCTTGAGAAGCATCTAAATATGAGCGGGGAAGAGCTGCTGAGGCCATGAGGTTCTCCAAGTCTCAAGGCCCAAATGGGACTTCCTTCGCTGCAGGCAAGTGGGAATGTCTGGCTTCAGGAAAATGTGGTTATGTCAGGGAGAGAATTACACAGAAACGGCAAAATGGGGGATGTGATGACAGACACCCCATGGAGGTGGGTGTGCACCTACCTGGAGGCTGGAGGTGAAGGCACAACTACTAATGCTACATGACGTGGGCTCTCCCAAAGCCCTGGAGAACAGACCGAGAGACATCTCCACCTCTTGCTCCCATTGGATACCACTAAACTGCAAAGCTCATAGGAATATTTATCTTTTCAATAAATAACATAGAAAACTAAAGCGTAAGTTGCTCTGCTACTCCTGACACTTCAGCATCATTCTAGGCAACAAAAGAATAAAAAGGAATAAGGAATGAGGGATAAAAGAGGCAGAGGGAGAAGTAAATTCCCACTGTTTTACAAAGGCATTTTAAAGGACAGATGGGGCACTGCTTTTATGGATAATATAGATGGTACAAATAGACCTGAAGCACTTGATCACTGGGAAGGAAAGTCAGCGGAGGGATTGAAAAACTAGCAAGCACCAGTGCCTAATCACCAGACATAGACTAAACAGCAGCAATCTGGTGTTTCACAGGCAACATTTCTGATTTTCAAAGGTTCATAACGTGTGGATAAATCTCTATCACACTCCAAAGAAAGCCTCTGGAAAGTGACCCGGAGAAATACGGAGTTGTGAAGGAGCTGGGACCTACTAGAACATGCCAAACCTTACACAGAGGTGCTATAATTCAACTCACCTGGCAGGCCAGATTCTCAGCTGTGTTAGAGGCTTCAGCAAAGCTTTGCAAACCAACAGAGCCACTAAAACTCTCAAGGGCTCAAGAAGCAAAGCCTAACACCCTATTCTTCTGCAAACTGATATATACATAACCTGAGATTGCTCTGAATGAGAAGCTTGGAAGGACTTCCTCAAGTCTGGCAGTAAGAGCACGTTTACCCTAACAAACACATCAAAAAGACAAGCAGAATCTAGCAGGGGATTTACTTCTCACCGCCCTCATGACAACTGATCCTTGGAGAAATGGCTTATTTAACTTACGATCCCCCCTTCCCTCCCCCCCACTCCCACCACCCTATTTTCCAAAGTATTTTCCACCGTATTTTCCACGGATTCTCCTCCCTTAGAAGGCATTGCACAGGATTTGACCTACTGGAGACCAACACTCCAAGAGCCAAAGTTCTCTTTCCACAAGCTGCTTTCTGCAAGGACCAGTTGTCAAAACGGAGAATCAGCGACATCACAGAACTTCTGAAATTAAATAGATTTGGGTAATTCTAAGCTCACGGCATTGATCCCTAACAGGTAAGTCGCTCCCTGTGTGCTTTAATTTAAACAGACATCAAAAAACAGATGCTGCTTCATTCGATGCTGCGGATTCCTAGGGGGTCATTGGTCAGTTTTGCATCTTAATTCTCTTTGGTATCCACCCCCTGAGCTTTTGTGGGCCTGTTAGAAAACTGTGGAAATATTTTAGCAGAGGAGCCCTAAACTAACACAATCACCCCATGAAGATTCTGATCACCATTTCTATATCTTTCCTACACACTGGGCAAGGTGACCTCTTTTTCTTCAGCATTTTTGCACATTTGAAACAGGCCACCAGGTGAGCAGTCCTTCCATGGACAATATTCCCATCCCGTGGTCTGTGGTGGCAGAGGAAGCAGGGATTCAGTAACTTTTTTATACTTTCCAAGGACTGTATTTCTTCTTCCTTTTTATGTTCAGTAAACTGCAACAGAGCCTCTTTGCCTTCACATTCTTGTGCCAAATCCAAAGACTCGATAGAGCTGCAGGGATCTACACACGCTTTGTTTTTCACCCTGTACAGGTCTTTGGGTTGGCCAACGGGAGCAGAAATAGTCCTCCGGCAGTCCGGGACATCTATCCCTTCATCATCGTTTTTGTTTTGCATAGCATCAATGTCGGACAGAGAAAGAGAATGAGCCAGTTTGGGACAATCTGAGTACCAGTCTTTGCGCAAGGCCCAGCAGCGGTAACAGTACCGTTTAAGCGGAGAGTTGAGTTTCTTGCATTTGGTGCATTGCCAGCAGTCCTGAAGAACGAGCGAGGCAGACAAAAACAGCAGCAGGTTAGAGCCCTCTCACACACGTTCCTCCCTACGGGGGATACTCAATCACGATGCTTCACGAGAAGGAGGACATCTGCTCCTGAGTCAAGGTTTGCACATGCACGATGCCTGGTTTGGTTATCAGCACCTTAGGAAGCCTAAGGAATATTTTCCTACCCCTGTGCGTTGTACAGAGCCAGATCTCTGAAGCATTTAGCTCTGTCCTGCCTTCCTCCCAGCCCTCAGCACTCTGGAGGGATGCAGTGACCTCAGGCTATGCTGTTTATTGAGTTTTAAATATCCCTCTCTAAATTCAAGGCTCCTGGAATCATTTAGGAATGTGGTTCCCAGACTCAGGGGACACTGCTGAATCTGCACAACTAATAGTGGTTTATTTGATTACCCCACACAGCAAGGGCAAAAGCTGCCTAAATTCAGAGCTACAACTGAGCTGTCCAACTCCAGAGCCAATCTAATTTGTCAAGAACACGGAGTTTACAAAATTATGCTAAAAAAATGGTGACATCAGCTCCCCAGAGCAGCACAGACGAGTATCTGCTGGTCTTCTCTGCCTGGGTAAGTCAGAGCACTGATGGGCTGCCAATGCCTAATGCCAATCCAATCTGGCAAACTCCAATTTTAACGGAGCCAAAACAAACTAGATCAGGTCAAGCAAACTTCCCTGCATTCCTTCATGTAGGTAATATTTTGGGGTTGTTTTTTTCTTTTTGCTTTTCTTCGTCTTTGAAACCTACACAAGCACCGACTTCTCCTGCCATACCCAGGGGAATCTGTAGGACTTTCTGGGCAACTACAGCTGAGACTGTAGAAATCTCCAAGCAAGGAATGGTGACTTAAAGGACGCCTACCTCAGAGGCAGCTTCTGTATCTGTGTCATCGCTTAAGCATTGCGAATCCTCCAAGTCATGCAAACATGTATCCTCAGTCACCTGGGAAGAGGGGATTTGCTGTCAGAAGCACTGCAGACATTTCTATTTGTGATAAACCCAGCGCTGTAGAACAAAACTAAAAGGGCGGTATAACGACCTTGGAAATCAATCCGTTTCTAGAAGCAACTGCAAGCTATTTTATGCACCACAGTCACTCGAGAATCTCGCTGCTAAGTATTGCTGGGATGGCTTATGGTCATTATTTTCCCGCGGTCAAATCATCTCTTTTCCTGATGCACAAAAGAGGCAAACAAATACAGCAAACAAATACGTACCTGAGCAGCCCTACTGATTTCCATGCAAGAAATCACGAGCTCAATGCTTTTAGCATCAATCTCTACCACCTTGGGCAGATTCAGACTAGCCTCGCATATACTGAAAGTTAATGAATTACCAAGCGAGGTTTTCCTTTTCAAGTCTTATCATTGATTAGTCTTATCAGATACTGACTGGAGAAACAGCGGAGAGAAAATTCCTGCTAAAATTTTAAGTCATTTCAAATCATTTTTAAGGCTTGGTGGTTACAGATCTAGCTCCTCCCAATTCTGAAGAGCAGCAGGAAACAGATGAAAAATTACGGATTTTGCACATCTGTGACATCAGTCAAACAAGGTTAACCCTGGGCATGTTCTAGGAAGTACCTTTTTGTCACTGTCTCTCATCTCCTCGAAGTCAACAGCTTCCACCTTGCCTGGGGCACAGCTCGGATCTGCTGGACATTCGTTGAGGAACCACAAGTCATCAGTAGTATCGGATACAATGGCAGTGTCTACGTCCTGCTGGGGAAGAAACGGGAGAGGAGAGCTACAGCCCAGCTTTTTGGCACCAGGACTGCAGCCGTGGCCACGGGGAATGCTCCCCCTTTCCTCACGAGCAGCCTGAGCCCTGGCCAGCTCATCCAGTCACCCCTTGGGGAGAAAGGGGCACCTCATAAACTGCTCTCATCCAAAAATGCCCCGTTTTGTGAGCTGTACCCCAGCTCTTTCCCCTCGCTAGCGGCTCCCACAGCAGCTGGTTGCTGCTCTATGACCATCTGCACCGTGTAACAGCTTTCGGGCAGGTAGAGGAGCAAGTCCTGAAATGCAACCACTGCTCAGGAGCGTGCAGGGGCCTCCGAGGGCTGAGCACAGCCTGCGGGGAGCACCCAGTTTGGTTAGGAAAACCACAGGAATAACCACGTGATGTGGAAGGCTGGGACGGAAACACACAAGGGAGAGGCTGCAAGTCCTCAAGTGGGCAGAAGGAAGCAAGGACAAGAAATATTATTTACCTGGGATACAAAAAGAGGAGAGGAAGAGAAGACAGCGCCCCTCTTGGAAATGTCTACACACCTGGTTAGTCTGAATATCTGTAGATCCATTACTTCTGGACTTGTAATTGCTTCTGAGGTTGCCTAAAAACCACCACGGAAGACCAGCTACATCCCATTCCTCAAACACTAGGTCCAGCTTAGGCTTCTTGCTTTTAGAGAAGTTTTCTATTAAGTCTTTGTCTGTAAGAGCCAAGTAGAGTCTAAGTCATGCCACACCTAAGTTATTTGAGAGACTAGCAGAGATAAACCTGGCCCCATGCAATTTGAGAAATGTCTCACTGCAGCCAGGGATGCTGCTAGCAGCTCTGGCATCTGTGAGCAGCCCCTCTGTTGTACCCCACACAAATGAGAATACTTCTTTCAGAGCTCTATCCAAATCAACGTTGGATAGATTTCTAGAGTAACTTAGGATGCAGAAAGAGAACAGGGTTGAATTTGGTCCAAACTTCCACAGATTGGAGCCCCTAGATTCCCAAAGCTCCCAAGGTTCCACATGGGAAGCGGGGATGGAAGAACGTGTCCTCCGTGATTCCTTGCCTCAGCTTTCTCCTTCGCTTTAGCCCAGGAAGTTTGATCTATGAACCAAAATGCAGAGGTGTGAATTTCAAGATAACCTTCAACCCCTCTCCCTGCAGTGCCGAGAGTTTCCAAGGCCCAGACAAGGGCTGTTTTGTATCTACCTGCTTTGTATCTGTGGCCAGGAAAATATCTACTGCCCTCGTTTGATCTGCACATAACCACATTTGCAAAGAAGATCTGCTTTTCCATATTAGCTTCCTTGATATGAAAATGGATGTGAGAGTAAAAAGTGGAAAAACAGGAAAACCACTTCCATACTATCAGAAATTATTACTGAACTACCAAGAAATCCCCAGGTACTAAACAAAGGAAATGTCCCAATATGAAGAAGCTGCACTATTCTAGAGCTAGACAGAAAATATACAACATTGTTATTCGGTTCCTTGATTGGTTTGCAAGTAATGACTGCAGACAGCTCAGTATGTGTTCTCTGTAATCAGACAAGAGAGTCCTCTGGGAAGATAAATAGATACAGGTATAATTTCAGCATTTTAAATACCCTTCAGCAAGGTCTCTAAGATTTTTGGTGGCACTGGCTAGTGATAGATTGCTTTTTGGCTTCACATGTCATTCTATTCGGAGTTTTGTTTATTTATGAGGCCAAGCACCAAACCTAGAGAATGCATTCATCATAAAATACCTTTTGCAGACATTTGCGATTCTCTAAATCTCTGCCACAAAATGATGACATTTAAAGATTGTTTTCCACAGTAGGCTTTTTTATTAGTCTCCCAACACCCTCCTCCGGCAGTTTCCTGGTACAGAGCTCAGTGTTTCACACTGCAGAACGAGCAGAACAACGGGTACACGCTGTATTATGGGGGGAAAACTGGCACTCACCTTCATAATTTCCACATTTGGGCTCTGAGGTAGACAAAGCAGCATTGCTCTCACCTTCCCTTGTGCCAGTGTCTGAACCTTCTTGTGTGATAAACTGCATGAAGGAAAAGGAAAATGTTAGTCCAGCAGAGCTTACAGGGACAAGGGGATGTAGCACTTCCATTCTGAGTCACCAGCAGCAGGACAACAACCAAGAAGTTACAGAAATAGAGTTTCCTGAACAAAAGCTACGCACTACAACCCTTTAAGGCAGCTGCAATGCATCTTCTATCAGCACAAACTTTCAACCCAGGAAAAATCTTCAGAGTGGCAAAGTTCCAAAAGTTGCCATCTTTTCTGCAGTAATATCATCATCTTCCTTACTCCCTGGCCTGACCGTCAGCACACACATCCCAGATCTCACTGCCTTAACCCCAAAGCGCATCTGAAACAAGTTTAGAACCTGCCAAGATTTTTCCTAGGTTTCTCATTCTGCCTGAAAGCTTTGGAAAACAATCCTAGTGAACACACAACCTGCTTCACACCTTTAGAAAGCTAAATTATTTGGCGCTTCTTATTCACAGGAGGGAGAAGATGAGTGGGGGGGGGAAAGACAGGAAAGCACAGGGCACGCTGGAGGAACTGAGGACTAGAAGTGCTACACCCCAGAGAAACGCGCTCAGAGACTGGAACTCTGTTATGAGAGAACAGAGAAGGGTCACTCTGTCCCTGCTCTGTGGACTCCAAGAACTTTTCAGGAAGGTGAGGACCTGGTAGCCAAGCAGCCCAAAGTTCTCGTAGTCCACCATGCACAGGTACAGAGAAGGGGCACTCTGTACAACAAAAGAAACCACCAGGCAGTGGGTTTACCTTCAGTTGGTCTTGGCTTGGCCTATCGACGCTCTGTTCCTTTGCCAGATTCTCTGCAGCATCTAGATGGCAGGTAAAACAAAAGAAAAAACCTTCCCTGGTAATAACCATTCTCGCAACACAGGAGGCCTTCAGCAAGCAACCCACGAGCCAAGCTTGGCAGACTGCTGGCTAACCCTTGGGGAAAAAGCAGCATCTTTTCTTCCTGGGAGAATGAGCCCTTTCTTCCACGGGAAACTCCAGTATTTCCTTGGGCTTTCCAGGCATGGATGGAGGCAATGCCCTAGGGAACACATAGTCTGTGCCTATGGAGAGATAAAGCTTGCTGAACGCTTACAGCAAGCGAGAACCTTCTTTGCAAGGTAAAATACATCTTTTTATTTATTTCCTACAGTCTGTCCTCCCATTGCAAGCTCTAGGGGAATAACACAACAAGCTTGCACGGGGACAGAAAACCCAGAGGGGCAGCAAAGGGTGGCGAGTCTCAACTGAAGGCTGTATCAGATCAAAACTGAACAAGGGGAATAGAGAAGAGCAGAACCTTTATAAATATATGAGGGCACTGTCTTTTTCAGCAGATGTGGAGATGGGGAAAGATGTTGTTTTTAAAGGGAGTGGATATGAAGAGGAAAAACGAGATTAAATAAGGGAAAAATCCATGTACAGCAGGAACCTTCCTGGGTAACTGAGTACACATCCACAATTTAATCCAATTATGCTGGCCCCAAGGGTTAAATAAAGGCCAACCTAATTAGCGAGATTAAATGAATATAAATATTTCTAAATAACAATACATTTCCTTATTTCCACAGGGAGAGAACTGCACCACAATTGGTCTATAAAATGGACCAGAAAATAGGAGCAGAAAATGACAGGGCTGGACCCTGTATCCTTTGCCATCCATATATGCATTGGTTCAGCTCTCCTTTCTTCTCTTCCATCACCAAACTCTGTACAGCTTATGGTCTATACTTTTTACAGCCTATACTCCATGCCCAACAGAAGCCAACTTGCTCATCCACGACCGCTCTGGCTCTGCAGGAGCATTAGAAAAGGCACAGATTTGGCTTTTTGACCTTTTAAAAATCATACTCAATACGGTGTGACAATCCACTACCAGAGAGGTGTTCCTGCAATGTATGCTAGGAACTGAATACAAAATGCCCTTCAAATGAGGTATTCCTAAATATACCTCATATGGTTCGTATTTACAGTCAAAGCTAGACAAGCAAGGACACCATCTGATAAGAGCAGTATGTAAGAGCTTAGTCTGTGTTATCAACATGAAATACAGTCACTTTTCCTTCTAGAAATAAACTTTAAAGACGTGCTCAGGATAATCTGCAAAATGACGTGCTGATAAGCCTTGATTTATCTAGTGAAGACAAGTGGTTGCTACTAAACACGAGGGCCTCTTTAAAGCCTGTGACACTCCCAGTTACTCCTGTGTGGAGACGAAGTAAAAATAATAGTTTGAGTTTCCTTTCCTATCACTTGTCAAAGGCCTCGTCTGCCAAGCTTGTTTCGTTCACACACATACACACACATGCAGGCATGCTGGTGTAATTCAATGGTCAGCTCACAAAAAAACTAGTTATTTCCTTTGGAAGGTTTACAAGGTGGTTACACCGTGATGGGACCATATATGCACACGCAGCCACATGCACACACCAAGCAGAAGGGAGAAGAGCAGCAGGGGAGAGAGCGCTTCCCTGGCATCCTCTGCTCTCCACATCCCCTGGTAAGAAACTAGGGAATTGCCAGCACTCACACGGTTATTCTGGAGACATTAGGGAGACAAGAGGCTGCTTAGGAAGGTTCTTTTACACAAATATCAGGAAGAGGTGACTTCAAGAGGCACAAATGTATGAAGAAATGTGGCTCGGAACAGAGGAGTGTGCAGTTTAGCACCCCATTTTCTCAGTTTCTAAACTGGCACAAGCTTTTCTGTACTCATGCAAAAACAGATTAAGCCCTTCTGAAAAATGAAGACCAGATTTTCTGCTTTGAGATCCTTGGAAGCAGGAGGCAAGACTGAAGGACCGTGATGTGGATGGGTGTGACAACCTCTCCCTTGAGCTCAGAGAGCAACCTCTCTCTGGTTCAAGGCTTTGGTTCAAGTCACTGCACGCTATGAAACTGAAAAAGATGGATGATTTGGTGATGTATGGTGATTTGGAGGGATACCAAGCCAAATTGCTTGGCATGTGCACAGTATTTAGCCTTCTCTGCATGCTTGAAGAGTCTGCTTCTCTGGGGTTTGGCCACTGGTCATGGCCAGCCACGTTACTCCAAAAGCCGATTTCCAATCACAGCTACTGATGGTCACACACACGCAAAGGACACATCCTCAAGAGATTCTCTCATCAAAGCCTTCATTAGAGGTTTGCTGCATCTTCAGAAACATTTCCCTTTTCTGAAAATTGTTACTTACCCACGTTACATCAAAACTGTACCGAATATACTTGCCCATTCTGTGACAAACCTACCTGCCATAGCAGCAGAAGTCAGGTTCCGTTTCAGCATGTCATAAACTGGGCTGCAGGAAAGACAGAGACAAGGAATTGAATCCCAGTAACACACAGTGAAGAGCAGCAGTATCCCCTGGTTCTGCAATTTCTACAGAACAACATTTGATAAAGGTCATTCTTTCCTACCTTGGATCTTTCACAGAGAAGCTCTCCAGCCCCAGCAGTTCTCCCAGCTGATCTCCTCCACAGTAGACCATGTGTTGCTGTCTTTTATCATATAGCTGCCTCACCATTATATACTGTCCCAGGTAATGCATAACCTGGAGATACAGAGCATGCCTTTAGACATACACGGCGGTGAAAGCAAATCACCCAAGACTCTGGAAATCCGCTTTAGTTTTTGATACTTTCCTCCCACGCCCTACAAAGTGTCAGTCAAGCAGCATATTTATCTCCCAAACAAGACTGAGTTTCACTATATGCTTTAAGTTTTGTAATTACTAACTTTAGACAGTAAGAAAACTGTCAGAGAAAGGCAAGTCCCTTTTCTAGCCCACATTAAGACAGAAAATGACAGGGATAACGACACTCTTATCTGGACAATCTCTCTCTCTGCAACATGGGCAGCTAGTGCGGGACCACAGCAAGATTGATTTTGTGTCGTCTCTTTGAAACGGGAGGAGGAACCACGTAAGAAGCCAGGGCAAAGACAAGAAGGAAAAGGTGTGACGGGGAGGGAGAAGACAGCACTGATTGAAAAGATGCTGTTCCTAAAGGATGACCACAAATACAGTGCTGCCCGGGAGGGGACAACCCATTTGACAGATGCAGAAATGTGTGTGTTAGTAGCATAGAAAAAATGCTGGCACTGCCAGCTACACTAACCTACAGTACCTGCAAGAAAAGCAACACATGTGAAGCAAAATATAAGCAAAATTCCACCACCAATTAGCCTTCAAAGTGAGCCTCCTAAACAGCAGTAAATGCAATCAAAAAGTTGCTAATAGTATTCCAATCATTGCAGAAAAAATGGACTTAACTGACTTAAAATGATAATGTACATGAGTAGCCCGCATTTAACACGCAGCTCTCTCCATTTAAACCACTCCATTTGTTTTTGCAAAGATTTTTAGAAGCTAAATAAGTTATTTAAATGCATAAGTGTTTAAAATAAGTCACAGGGCTCTGCAGGAACATTTGACACCTTCATAATGAAAAACCACTGCATTTAATTCTTTGTAGACAGAATAGTCCTGTAAATCACAGTCACTGTCATTTTTTTAATCTTGTACACATCCTGCATTTTAATCTTAAAATAAATGTACTCACAGAGGTTTAGCTGACAAGTCATTCCAAAGGAAACTTGAAGGAAAAACATCAACCAGAATCCAATTTTCAAGGGCTGAACAGACAGCAAAACAGCAGAATCCCTGGCATTTTCTCCAGTGTGAGAATATTCTCCTTTGCATTTCTCTGAAGTGGTTTCTGATTTTCCAAAATAAATATTTTGATATTTTCCACTGCTGTTCAGTTTCTCCAGAGGCTCTTATTCAATCAAACCACAACATCCCCCTCGGAAAGGTTATCCCTCTTTTACAAATAAGGTTTTGATCTGCAAGGACAAGTCCTAGAAGGCGAGCTCACCTCCTTCAGCGTGAAGGTCTCCCCCTGGGCCCCGGCAGCCTGCAGAATCTTCAGAAGTGGCACTTTGGGGCGCATCTAAAATGCAAAATACAGGGTTTTTTTTTAATGCTTTGAGAGAAAGTACCTCACCCTGGCATAGGTGCCTGCATATTCCAGCTAGTGAGGTCCTGGATGCACATTCAACTGTCACACTCAAGCATCACCGAGCACACAAGCGTGGTCCTGGGCACTGCTGTTTGCCTTAGGCTACTTCTGGAAGCCCTCTGCTCTTCTACAATCTACAGGGG